TTACACAGTTCCTTTATTCATTTATTTATAGGACCACATCCGTTGGAGAGCTATGCTACACGATGTATTATAATGTCCTTTATTTGAACACTATTCTTTGATGATTTATATATAATTTAACAGTGTTATTTTGATATATATATATATATATATATATATATACATACATATATACATATATCTGCAGGGCCTACTAAATCATTACGAAAGTAGGCTATGGCAGAGGAACGGAAACATTTATATTTTAGACCAAACCAATCCCCTAGGTTGCTGAATGCTAGATGCAGTTGACTGTATATTGAATACTAGGCTAGGCTGAGGTGCGAACGCTATCCAATACGGCAGGCTTGATAGCGTATGTAATTTAAAAGGTAAACCCAAGATATTTATGACTAAGTAGACAGTTATCAATTCATGCCGTACACGATACGGGAGATGATTTTATTGAATACTCCGAGAATGTTGCAGAAGATACCTGGATTAGACAAATAGTCGCCGAATCAATAGTTTTACTCCTCCGGGTATCGTTCATCGATTTAGTTATCATCAAGCTTAAACATATTATAGATGAGTGTGGGCCTATCTATTTTTATAACTGTGTATACCATTTCCATAGTCTGCCTTCTTCCTATTGTTGTGATTTGTCTGCAGTTTTGCTGTTCCAGTTTGCCATGACTTTCTAACATACTTTTGCATGAAACGCATAGAAGATTTTAGCATTTGCGTTATTATTAGCAACTTTAATAAACATGTGTTAAACAGACTGTGTAATTGCCAATTGCCAAAGCGTGTTTTAAACAAGTGGACATTGTGTGATATTATGAGTGCCACACACAACGAATTCATAATTAATTTTGAATCAAAATCAAGTTAAAATGCAATGATCATAGGCTATCACTACACTATCTATGATGATAGGATGTGATATGCAAACAGCGCGTATAGCGTAAGTGCATGCATAAATCCATATAATCGCTACACGCTATCACAGGCTTTTGGTCGGTTGAATCAAATACCGTACTCGCGCGAATAAGCGCCCGGGCGCCTAAGATATTTTTTGCACTTTCTGAGGGGCGCTTATTCAAACCGGGCACTTATATAAACGGGGCCCTGACAAATATGTAAGAAGGGGAAAGTTGGAAATCTGTGTAGGGATCGGAGCTCTCATTTGTCCCGAGAGAAATATCCTCATTTTTTACATTAACCTAAGAAGAATGTAATTCTACTCTGCAGCTCAAATCATGCCAAAACCACAGTCCCAGAATTAATTGGATTATTAACTTGCTAAAAAGAAAATCTTATGATATTATTTTTGCGCTTATTCAAATTAGAAAGGGGCGCTTATTTAAACGGGGCGCTTAAGGAAATTTTCACGTTAGGGGGCGCTTATTCAAACGGGGCGCGATTTTTTTTTCCGTACGAAACATTTACATGAAACTCCACTCGGGCCGTCTCGGCTGAATCGACCCGAAAATCTCATTGCAGAATTCAGGAGGTCAAAAGGTCATCAACAGATAAACGTC